TGGGAAAGGGCAGATGGGCTTGATACATAAATAACCCTATTGTGAACATTACCTCAGTCAGACGTGGCTGAAAAGTCCCATACCAAAAAAGTTTGGGAGATATGGTTTACCCTCATACCGAACGGGGTATCGACGCAATGGAATGTTTGGTGTCCATTACCGGATGAAGTATGGGGATTGTCGGTTAATTGTTAAAATTGAATATTAGATTCACGAGTTGGGGGACATCCCTATGGACCCTAGGGATACCAAAAAGCAAGTTAAAAAGAAAAATTGTCTTCATTTATTCTCTTATGTGTGAAAATAAAAAGTGGTATGGATATGGGTCTTCATAGGTTGTTTTTGAAAAACTCATAACAGTATGTATCAAACAAATGTCTTTATCTTAAATGTATTTAATTAAAGCATGGGCTCCATCAATTATTTTTTTTATTTTTACCAATCTTCAGTTTTTCGTATTTGTAATTAGTGTAATATTCTTACTGGGCTAGTATAGTTCACCCTTTCATTAACAATTTCATATCAAGAAGATGAAGATCCGGATCCCGATCAGCAAGAGAGTTGTAAGTAGTTCACCACTCGGACTCCCTTTAAGTACTAATGAAGGTTGGCATAGGATGTTTATTTATTCTTTTTTTTTAATTACCGTTGTCTTTTAGAATGGATATTCTCAAACTCCTATTGGACATTTTAAATTATTGTGTAAGGAATGTAAACTCTAACTCTGTTATCTGCTTTTGCATTTAAATTATAAATTCATTTCCTTTAAGGTTCCGGGCCTCTAAAAAAATAATCGACCAATGTTCTCCGCAGAAGATATCAACAAGTGATAATGGTATTGGATTGAAAATTGGAAGAGGATTATCATTGAAGGAAGCTGAAGTTGAAGAGAGTTTAGCCATTGTGGTGCTAGTTGTTAGGTCGCCAAAAGAAAAAATTGAGATTAATTGAGTGATGAAGATTGAGAGTAAGCAAGATCAAGAGCAGATTTTGAATTGTTAATCTTTTATCAACAGTCCAGATTGATCCTGGGTCATATAGAATTTGTTAAACAAGGGTGAAAACGTGAAGTTGTTGGAGATAGGAGGAAGATGTTAGAGAGATTAATAAGAAGACTCAAGATTTTCTGTTATGGTTCTTACAAAAAAATTCAAGTACATGCCTATTTATTAGCAATATTACAACTACTAGAATTAATTATAACCACCAAAAAATAAATAAATCGAATTTATGACTCATAACTTCTACCAAACCAAATGAGATATAGAAACTGTAATTTATGAAGTTCAACTACTACCAAATTAATTAATTATATTCTAATTTACAAATTAATTTTTAACATTTCCCCTTAATTTGTAAATCTCATTTTCAATCCAAGATTAGTACATAGTTTTTAAAAGACTTCAAACTTAAGCAGTTTGGTGAAAATATCCACCACTTGATCTTCAGTCTTTACGTGCTTGAGTTCCACTTTTTTTTCAGCAATACAATCTCTAATAAAATGATATCTTGTGTCTATGTATTTGTTTCGTTCATGGAATACCGGGTTTTTGGCTAGTGCTTATGCAGACTTATTATCAATAAAAGTTTTAGCAGTTTCGTCCTGTGTTAAATAAAATTCTTTCATTAATCTTCTAAGCCATATGGCATGATAAGCACAAGAGGTTGCTGCCACATATTCAGACTCACAAGTTGATAATGTAACAATGGCTTGCTTCTTAGAACTCCATGAAATTGCACAATCACCCATATAGAATACAAAACCAGTTGTACTTTTTCTATCATCAATATCTCCAGCGAAATCACTATCACAAAATCTCACAAGGTTGAAATCATTAAAAGATGAATAAAATAAGCCAAAATCAATAGTACATTTAAGGTAGCGTAGAACTCTTTTAGTAACATTCATGTGGGAGGTGGTACAAGCTTTCATAAAATGACTAATTAGTGCAACTGCAAAAAAAAATATCAGGCCTTGTAATTCTCAAGTATCTCAAACTTCCCATAAGACTTTTAAAGAGACTGTGATCTATTTTTTTCCCATTATCAAACTTTGATAACTTGCCTCTACATTCTATAGGCATGTTTACAGGATTGCAATTAAGCATTTTGAATTTCTCTAAGACTTTTCTTGCATAGCCTTCTTGAGAAATAAAAATACTATCTTCCATTTGCTTCACCTCAAGGCCCAAATAATAAGACATGAGCCCAATATCAGTTATTTCAAATTCAAGTAACATGTTTTTATTGAATTCTTCAAACAAACTTGGATTGTTGCTCGTGAAGATGAGATCATCAATATATAGACACAAAAATAGAATATCACCATTAGGATGATACTTCACATAAAGAGCATATTCATGAAGGTAGCAAACAAATCCATTATTTTCAAAATACTTGTTTATATGGCTATTCCATGTTCTTGGTGATTGTTTTAGCCCATACAAAGCTTTCTTCAATTTCAACACTTTATCTTCATGCCCTTCAACCATGAAACCCAATGGTTGTTCTACATAAACCTCTTCATTAAGATAGTCAATGAGAAACGCCAATTTTACATCAAGTTGAAAATTTTTTAACTTCATTTGAGCTAAAATAGCTAAGAGCAAGCAAATAGTCTCCATGTAAGTAACTAGTGCAAAAACCTCATCATAATCAATCTCGTGTTTTTGCTTGTATCCTTTAGCTACAAGTCTTGCCTTGTACCTTTTCACATTTCCTTGAGAATCTTTTTTAGCTTTATAGACTCATCTGACACCAATAGTGAAAGGCCTTTCACTTGAACTTTCTTGAGAATTGGGTGATGTAACATGAGTTGGAGAATGAGGTGGAGTTGCCTTTTGTAAAGGTACCATGGTCTCTTGGTTTTTCTCTTCAAAGTATGGAAAGAAATCATAAACATTTTTTTCTTTCTTCTCCAAATTCCAAGTCGTTTTTCATTAAATTCAACATCTCTATTTACTATGATCTTGTCATTGCTTAGATTATACAATTTATAGCTTTTTGAGTTTGCATCATACCCAATGAAAATATGTTTGACACTTCGATCATTGAGCTTATATATTTCTCATTGTGAAACATGAGCATATGCAATACTTCCAAAAACTCGCAAATGGTTGACATTAGGTTTCATTCCGCTCCATGCTTCTTGGGGAGTCATGTCTTTCAAACTTGATGTTGGAGATCTATTAGATAAATACACTGTACAAGAAATTTCTTTGGTCCAAAATTTCTCGGGCATGTTTTTTGCTTTCAACATGCTTCTAGCCATATGAAGAATAGTTTTATTCTTTCTTTCTGCAATTACATTTTGTTATGATGATCTTGAAATCGTTAAAGGGCGACGAATTCTATTAGTATCACAGAAATCATTGAATTCTTTGGAAATAAATTCACCTTCTCTATCTATTCTTAAAGACTTTATTTTACAACTACAATCTTTTTCTATAAGAGCTTTGAAATTTTTAAAAGCAACAAAAGCATCTGATTTTTAAAAAAATATATATATATCCAAGTTTTCCTACTAAAATCATTAATAAATAGTAGAAAGTATTTGTTTTTACTAAATGAGAGTGGATTGATTAGCCCACACACATCGGCCTGTAGAAGGTGAAGTAGCTTGGCTGCTCTTGTAGTAGCTTCTTTTGGGAAACTCCTTTTTAAATGCTTTCCAAGTAGACATGTTTCACATAATTGATTAGGATGGTTGATTAATGGCATCCCTTTCACCATTTTTTCTTCTCCTATTGCCTTGAGTGTGCCAAAGTTCAAATGGTCAAATCTTATATGCCAACACCATGCTTCACCATTTTTTTTTCTCTCATTGCCTTGAGTGTGCCAAAGTTCAAATAGCCAAATCTCATATGCCAACACCATGCTTCATCTTCCATACTAGACTTCAAACATCTTACTTCAATAGTTTTGATATTCAAGATAATTATTTTATTCTTTGACATGTGCACCTTAACAATCAAATTAGAACTTTAATCTCTAAGCCAAAGACAATAATCTTTCATGTGAATGTCACATCCATTTTCAAGAAGTTTGCCCAAACTCAAAATATTACTTCTTAACTTTGGCACATAGTAAACATTAGTAATAAGTACATGTCTACTATTTTTTGAAGAGATTAGAATTGTACCTTTCCCTTGAATTTGAACTTTTGAAAAGTTTCCAAAAGAAACATTACCATTAATCTTCTCATCAAGCTCCACAAGTTTTTCTTTATTGCTGCACATGTGATTGCTTACTCCATTATCCAAGTACCATGAATTATGTGTATCACTATCTCCTTTTTTACATGTTAGCAATAAAGTTGTTTCTTCCTCATCTTGTTTATCATGATAAGTTGGCTTATTCCTCCTTCCTATTTAAAAGTATTACGACATTCACAAGCATAATGTCCATATTTATGATAATTGTAACATTCAATATTTGATTTGTTAGAATTTCTATAGTTACCTCTTCTTTTTCCTCTTCCTCTTCTACGACATCTATTTGATAGCTGACTTTTGTCTTCATTATCCGTATCATCTTGAGTTTCATTCCTTTTAAATGCTTGACCACGACCATGACCACAACCTCTACCTCTTCCTCGTCTTCTTTGTTTTCCACCATCATTCAAAGATGTCTTTGATTTGAGAACTTGTTCTAAAGGCTCTTCTTGTCTTCTTTTTATTTTTTCTTCATGAACTTGTAGAGATCCCTCTAATTGTTCAAATATCAAAATATCTAGATCTTTTGATTCTTCAATGGTGCAAAACCATATAGTCGAATTTTGGTGGTAACGATCGAAGAATTTTTTGTACCACACGAGCATCTTCCATCATCTCACCAAATCTCCTCATTTGGCTTACTATAGACTTTATCCTTGAGCAAAAATCTGAAACGGATTCAACATCCTTTATTTGCAAAGCTTCAAACCCGCCTCATAAAGTTTGGAGTCATACTTTCTTCACCTTGTCAACTCTTTGGACGGAATTCTTCAAAATCTACCTAGCTTACTTTGCGTTGGTAGCATCGGTCACCTTTAGAAACATAGATTCATCCAAACCTTGATGGATAAGTGCAAGAGCTTGTTGATCCTTCTTCTTTGTTCTTGCAAAAGCATCTTTCTCGTTTTGAATTAAGGACTCTTCATCTTCGGATGGAGTAAAGTCTCTTTCTACAATATCTCACACATCTTATGAGCCAATATGGCTTTTATATGAAGACACCAACTCTTTCTTTTGTAAGATGAGAAAATTAGAAAGAAAATAGATTATTGCTAGCCATCTCTAAAATTTTAACAATAAATCAAACTCTGATACCACTTTGTTGGAGATAGAAGGAAGAAGTTAGAGAGACTAATGAGAAGACTCAAGATTTTTTATTGTGGTTCTTACAAAAAAATTTCAAGTACATGCCTATTTATAAGCACTAGTATAACTACTAGAATTAATTATAACCACCAACAAATATAATAAATCTAATTTATGACTCATAATTTCTACCAAACCAAAGGATATATAGAAACTCTAATTTATGAAGTTCAACTACTAACAAACAAATTAATTATATTCTAATTTACAAATTAATTTTTAACAGAAGTTTGGATTTAATCATATTAGGGTTTACTTGTTTGCCCTGTAAAGCAACTTAGTTTTTGCTTTTTATGTGGATTGTAATAAAGAATATTGATTTGGGATTCACTAAATTTCTTACCATGAGTAAATTAAGGTTTAAAGAATTACTTTTGACATCTCTAGTTCCAAACAAAATGTCACTATTGTCTTTACAGACTTTAAAACTTCAAGCAATCTAGTGGAAAAATATTGTCAGTTACAATGGTGTCGAAACGGGAAGACGTCAGACTCCATTAGAGGTTTTTCTATATAGGGATATTTATTGTCGTAACAATATCTTTATAAAACCAAAAATCTTGTAAGATGGACAAAAAAGTGTTGCCAAGAAGCACGAAATAGAGATTATCCCACATGGGTAAAATCGTTCATACAGTTGGCTTTGATACCAGTATAATGTTCATTTGTAGATAGATATTTTACTCTATCTATTTTATAATTGTTACACGTTTATATCATAAATTACACACTGATACAAAGTAAGTATAATTTAAAGAACATCCCCTCAAATTCAGAAACATATGTTGAAGTTTTTATAAACAGAACATGGAAAATTTAACAAATAGAATCGTAGACTTTTATTTGATCACATTAACTTGGCACCACTAGATTACAAACTTACACAAATATTCTTGTTTCCTCAGAAATTAAACACAAGTGATTGCATATTAGACATGCATATATATATATATATATATATATATATATGTTAATTTGTTTCTTCACCTTGATATGATAACCTCAAGGCAACAAGAGGAGAAACACTCTTGGTTCCTATAGATTTGAAACTATGCAGATAGTCCTTTACTGTGGTTTCCCTATACAGAGGTGGATTATCATCTGATAATAATTCATTTATAGGCCCATAAACACGCTCTGATGGTTCAAAAAGTGTTGTGAAGAAACATGACAAAGAAATTCTTGGTCCATTTGATTTAGCCATCACTTTGTGCTCTGCACTTTTGAACTTGTCATTACTGATTAGCTGCATATCCAACCATTTTGATGTTAGAAAAAAATCTATCTAGAAGATGGGTTAAATTTTATTTATGCTCCTGAAATATTATTTTATATATTCGATTATCTTAAAAATCTCGATTCACTAGCACCCACAGAATAATATTCATCCATTCTAAATTGGATTAGATCGAAATATATCTTAATATTGTATATCTACCTGTAAAAGTTCTCCAATGTTAACCACTAAAGTTCCTTCCTCTGGGATGACATCAACCCAATAATTGTCTTTAAGAACTTGCAGGCCACCTATCTGGTCTTGCAGAAGAATTGTGAGAAAATCAGGATCACGATGTCTGACATGGTGAAGGGTCCGATCAGGTTCTGGACAAGGCGGATAATATTGGCCATAAAAGACATGTCCTTTAGCACAACCCAGATCTGTTAGGCAACTAGAGTTGAGCCCTAATGCCTCTGATAATAATTCAAACAATGTTTCTCCAAGTTTCTTCACATGGTCTGAGTATTTCATTAATATTTCTCTGTAGCATAAGTATAAAGTTATAGTACTTGTTCAAAACATTATGTAGAAGTAATATCTTTTTATATGATGTACAGGAGTGGATGTAAACATACATATAAATATATACCTGCAAGCTTCAGGATACTCTTGAGGAGGTGGAGGATTAGGAGCCATGACACAAACCAAGGTGTCCCTCCAATTAGCTGCTTGTGAATTATAAAGATCGAAATTAGATACATATCGAACTTTTCTCTTAAATTCTCGTGAGTAAAACGCTCTCTTTATTTCCTTATCTTGCTCGTGGAAATGTCTGACACCTTTGATCATGTTGTCCATGACAACTTGAGGTATGTCATGGTTTATGACCTTGAAAAATCCCCATGTCTCGGATGCTTCTTTTATGTTTTCAACAATTTTTTTGCGTTTGAAATTGTTGCAGTTCATGTCTTTAAGGTCTATGACTGGAAACCTTATGTTAGGATCTTCATTAATGTTGCTAAATATCTCTTCTTTTGGCATCCAAAAGATTTGAGGGACTGTCTTTGTGCCAGCATCCACGAGTCCTTTCACGCCATCTTTTGTTTCGTCAAACTTTTTCAAGGCAGTTTCTCTGTCAAAATCTATACCCGTTTCCTTATCTTGATGTAAGATATCTGCGTCTTGAATGAGTAATTTTACAATATCAGTTAAAATCGATTATCTTGAAAACTTAAATTTCTTAATTTTTTATAAGATAAAGAGATTAACTTTTAACAATGTTAAGACACAAAATTACAAGATTTTGCTATTAAAAAAAGACAAGAATATCTTCTTATTAACATTCTTGAATTCTTGTTGTTGCTATACATATACATGTGTGTGTGTATATATATATATATTGTATATTGAAAGATACCCAGATATATACGCGAACAAAGGATAGTTGATATGATCATACCTGCCTGGAAATCAGACATGGGTCCTTTTCTCTTGCTCTCTGCTACCCTATACAATGTCTTGTTTGAGCCTGAGATTTATTAAGTTATATATATGTATAAATATAAAATAATCTATACAGGTCCTAAAAAGACCTGCAATTGAAGTGCACTGATGATGTTCTGGTTTTTAGAAGGGCTTGTAAGGGAAGAAAGTTGGAAGTCCATATGATTAATTATCATATTTGTCTAATAATTATAATTTGTAGTAAGTTGACTTGCTTACTTGATACTTGATCTTAAAGAAAACAAAAAGACTTACCGTATGGACTTGAGTATAAATACATACTATATGAGTATAAGGGAGACCGTATGTTACGAGCCAATCATATACGAGGAGTGGATTTTAGTATTCGGAGGCCAAATTCATGAATGGAAATCGAACAAGTTACTCGAGTCAATATTTGCATCTTTGAATGATTAAATTTCTGCATGAATCAATTACGTTACGCATGTTAGAGGAATATTTATGTTACTATTCTTTAAGTTAAAGTTCTATAAATTCACGTATTAAGATTTTATCAGTTAAGATAGTTCTGATATATATATATATATATATATTAAGTAATAATATATTAATTAAATCAATAAAATAAAAAATTGAAGATGATGGAAATTACTGAGTTCTCTCCTTTTGTCCTTCAGTTACTTTTTTCTACATCACAGAATATGGAATCCTCATAGATATCATTCTCATATGTCAATGCAATTATATACATATAGTTATGTATATACACTTCGAATTATTATTATCGATAATAAATCATACTAGAGTTTTATATTAAAAATATAATAATCGATTGTTGTTGAGATCTATATATAAATTCAAGTAACATAATATTAATAATTCGAATTTAAGTTTGAAAGATTATTAAGTTAGTGATGATCGAACACAAAATATTATATCTTGAATACAACAATTTTACAACCAGCAAAAAAAGATATATATACACAAACAAAGGAGAGTATAACTTTGAGATGATCATACCTGGCTGCAAAATCATATACAGGTCGGTCCTCTTCTCTTGTTGTTTCTCACTCTATACAATCTCTTGTTTGAGTATGAGATTTATCAGGTTATATATGTATATGTAAGTTGTAATTATATTTGTCTGATAATTCCAACTTGTAATAAGTTGGCTGAGCCCTAAAAAAAAAAAATTAAGTTGACTTAGCCTACTTGACATTAAAGAAAATTGATTTTAATTTCACAGCATCCTCCACATTCTCATATGTCAATTTAATTCGATATATATAATATATACTTACAATTATTATTGTTATGAAATGTAATAATTAAAAAAAAAGGACAAATTACAGTTTTTAAAATAATTTTTAAATTTCATTTCAAAATACAATATTTTGTTTTATCTCAACATATTTTTGAGAAACAAGAACAAAATGATTTTTGTATTATATATAATCCTTAAATAAATTTATATCCACCAATCATTTTGTTAGTTATATAGTTAAAATATAACTTTGAGTCACACTATTATTATTCATAATAACTCGCTTAGCAAAGTAAATAGATATAAAATCTAGCGAATTCGATCCCGTCATCTCTCAAGATACCAAACTCAGAATTGTACAAAGTTCTTAATGAAAAGAAATAAAATTTTCTTTGGAGTTATCTTTTCCCGTAATATATTGGATATCTTTACATAATATCACAATCCCACATCAGACATATATCGACTGATCTATAAAATTCTATATAAAAATTTAAGTCAGACATTATTAATAATTTAAATTTAAATTTAAACTTTTAAGAACTAATAATTTAGTTCTACAAGATTATTACGTTAGTGATACTTTGATGAGAAAAATTATATCTTGAATACAATATATCGTATAGTAAAAAATATCTACAATCGAAGATATGACAATTGATTATTGAATTGTATATCTGAGTTCAAGTAAGATATTACTAATAACTTTTAAGAATCAATCATTTGAGTTTAGAACATTATTAAATTCTTTGAACCCAAAATATTATATATTGAATACAATAACTTCTCAACCATAAGCTAAAAATCTCTACAATTTGGACCAAATCAACAACAAATTATATACTTCAATAATTTAATGATAACTTTATATTAAAAATAATACAACCAACAATACAATGACGTTTTGAAGAGAATATATGAAAAGCATAATTTAACCCACATTATACTCTTATACGAATATGAAGAAGTATCTATCATCCAATCAAGAGATGATCCGTAAATTCTTAATCTAATTTTAATAATAATGTATAGTTTAAAAAAATAAAAAATAAATATTTAACTTACTGATAAAAAAATATAATATCAAGAATCTTATAAAATATGAAAAAATATCTACCCTCCAATGAAGAGACGATGGATCAACTCTAACCTAATCTATCTTTAATCATAATATATAATTTAAAGAAATAAAAATATAAATATTGACTTTATTAGTAAAAAAAAATTAATATCAAGAAAATAATTTGTACATGTTTGATCTGTTTTTTTTTTTTTTTTCTGTATCATACTAATCAAGAACTCTAATAAAATCAAATTAAATTTTTGAATATAATTAAATAGACGGAATCAAGAAATTCCTTAACACAACCACAATAATACGTCTTGTTCATATTTTCTTCAATGATATATCGATCGAATATAATGTGGAGAGGTGATACTTGGCACGAAATGTGCAAAAAAGATTAAAACAGTTATCTTGTGACGAAACATTCATAACTGAAACACAAAAGGAAGAAACACTTTGAAGAAAAAGACAACAATGGTGATGCATAAATTCTTCAAGAGGTTTAAACAACGGTTGGAGACTTCCCATTTGCTGAGAGCTGATCAATTGTCTGTTATCAATGGCAAAAGGTGAGATTTTTTTGTTTCAAGCTTTGTTTCTTTTGCAAGTTTGAATCATGGTAAGCCTTCTGAAGCACAAAAAAATGAATAATTTATGGTTGATATATCAGATGGAAATCTTATTACAATTCTTAGCATTGATGGTGGGGGAGTAAGGGGAATTATTCCCAGCATGGTTCTTGTTTTTCTTGAGTCTCAGCTCCAGGTTAGTTGCTTTTACATTTGTATTTTCTGGTTCTTTTAATGTTATAAAGTGTCTGATTAAATTACATATATATAGCTGTTCGAGCATTATATATGTAATTTAATCAGACTGGTTGCCATCTAGTTTTCACACTGATAAGGAAAAGGGTTCTTAAGTTGATTCCTTGTACTTTCCTTGAACAGAAGCTGGATGGTGACGATGCAAGGATTGCAGATTATTTCGATTTCATAGCTGGTACGAGCACAGGTGGTCTTGTGACAGCCATGCTTACTGCACCAAGTGAAAAGAATCGACCAATGTTTTCTGCGGAAGATATCAGCAAGTTTTATATTCACGAGAGTCCTCACATCTTTCCTCAAGAACTCGAAGAACCCGATATGAAAGTTGAAGAGTAAATTCTGAAAATTACCCAAACGTCTATCGAAAACGGAATTTGTACGAAAGATTGATATGATTAATCTTTATTATTGGCAGATGTAGCTTGACCTGGTTTGAAGCAATAACAAACTGGGTAAGATCAAAATGGGACAACTATTCAGACCCAGTTTTCACTTCTGTAGAAAGCTTCATCAATTGGGTTCAGAATGGAGCATTTTCTCCAAAGTATAGTGGGATTTACTTACACAAGAAAATCAAAGAAATGCTTGGCAGAAGAAAGCTTCATGAGACTCTAACCAATGTGGTAATCCCTGCCTTTGATATCAAGCTCCTCCAGCCCGTTGTCTTCTCCTCCCTAAAGGTGATTCCACCTGATTTATATGTCAATATATTGAGATTCGAAGGGTTAGATCTAATATTCGATGAATCTATTGCGAAAATGAATTCTTCACAGGCTAGATTTGACGATTCAAAGGATGCTTTCCTGTCAGATGTCTGCATTGGCACTTCTGCTGCTCCATATTACCTCCCTCCATATCATTTTCAACACAATTCATCCGAAGGCACCCGAGAATTCAACCTTGTTGACGGTGGTGTTGCAGCAAACAATCCTGTAAATTCGTGGTTCAGCAACAATGCTACTCCATATTATGTATATTTATGTATGACCCATCTGACTTGTATTTGACTATCTAATCAGACTTTGCTAGCAATTCGAGAGGCGATGAAGGAAATGTCGCGAGATGAAGATTCCCAACGCTTGGATTACAGTAAATTTCTTATCCTCTCCCTTGGAACTGGATCATCAAAGAGGGATGAAAAGCTTGAAGTTGGCGATGGCAAGGAATGGGGGCTCTTCAGTTGGTTTATGGGGCCTAATGGCACCACTCCTTTATTTGATGTTGTGCTCACTGCAATGGATGACATGGTAGAAATATACATGTCTGTTTTATTCCAAGCCTCCGATTCCAAAGACAATTATCTCCGTGTTCAGGTATTATATTAGTTTCGACTAATTATCTCAAAAGTTTAAATTGATATAACATGATTCAGTAAACTTAAAAGTTCTCTAAATTTATACATCAGTTTATATTATTCTATGTTACCCATCACGATCACTTGTTCACGATAGATGTGAAACTATGCTGATTGATTTTGTCATGGTAAAACAGGTGGATAGCTTGAAATACATGGAAGCCGCAACGGATAATTCAACGAGAGAAAATCTCGAGAATCTGAAAAAGATCGGGAGGGAATTGTTGGAAAGACCTGTTTGTGTAGCAAACTTAGAAACTGGTTTATATGAACCAGTAGAAGACAGGGGCACATATGCAGAAGCACTAATCAAGTGAGAAGAACAGGCTCCTATACATTCATGTCAACTGAAATTCCTCTGCTATAAAAATCAATTTTAATTAAAAAATAATAATTATTTCTAAACTTCACCTTCTTGCAGATTCGCGAAAAAATTGTCTGAAGAAAAAAAGCGTCGACTAATCTGTCAAACAGATTAATCGGAGTGTCAGCTAATTTAATTTGTTCTTAAAATACCGAATAATTTTTTTTCGTTATGAAGGCAAAGCAATTATTTTTATGTTTATCTTTAGTTGTGAGAATAAGAATGTAACGTACAATTTAAGGTAATTGGTCTAATTTAAGTTAACTATTTTATTTATTTTTTAATAAATTCAAATAAAATTATTATTATCATCGAATATATTTAATTTAATTATAATTTATAATTTAACTAATTTTAATAAAAAATAAAATATATTTATCACTAGTGCAACAAATTTTGAACTCAAACCACTAATGTTTAAAAATTTAAACTAAAGTTATTGGAGTTGCAAATTACGGTACAAATACCCACAAGTTCTAATATTAAATTATTGAACTAATATTTTTTAATATTATTTATAATATCTCGAGTTTAAATATTATTATTATAATAATTTTTCGAATTTAAATAATTAATAATATATAATTTAAATTATTTTATAGAACTCAATAATCACCTATTTTTATTAGGGCAAACTTCTTCTCTTTTTCTAGTTGAGAAACTCAACGTGGGCCGTCCATTTGTATGGCTGAGATTCCCGCCAAAACTTTGAGAAATTTGAGATGTCGACTCCTTCAATACCTCTGCAACTTACTCCCTTGACAAAAATATCAACCGTAGGGACATGGAACTCGCTGATCAGAGAAGCTTTAAACCGAAACAACCCTCGAAAGTCTCTTTTTCTCTTTCGCCAAATGAAGCAAAATGGCGTTGAGCCGAACAATCTGACATTCCCCTTCGTTGCAAAGGCATGTGCTAAGCTCTCCAATCTCAACTACTCTCAAATCATTCATACCCATATTGTGAAATCTCCAATTTGGTCTGATATTTTTGTACAAACAGCAACGATTGATATGTACTTGAAATGTGATCGATTTGACTATGCGTATGACTTGTTCGAAAAAATGCCCGAGAGGGACGTTGCCTCATGGAATGCAATACTTGTGGGTATAGCGCAGTTGCATTTTCCCTTTAGATTCTCTTGTCTTTTTCGTGAGATGAGATTTGGAGGAATTAAGCCTGATTCTATCACAGTAATGGCTCTGACTCACTCTGTTTTGCACACTAAGAATTTAGAGTTGATGAAGTCTGTTCATTCATTTGGGTTTCGGATTGGGACTGATGCTGATGTTTCTGTAGCTAACACTTGGATTTCTGCATATGGGAAATGCGGCGACTTGGTGTCAGCAAAGATGGTTTTTGATGAAATTGACACAGAACTGAGGACTGTTATATCATGGAACTGTCTGATTGCAGCCTACGCAAACTGTGAGAAAGTTAACGCTTTTCGATTTTATCAATTAATGTTGCATGATGGGTTTAAGCCGGATATAAGTACCATTCTTAGTTTGCTATCATCTTGTGTGCAACCTGTTACTCTGTTTCGAGGTAGGTCGGTTCATGCGCATGCAATCCAGTTAGGTTCTGATCTAGATGTAGCAGTTCTTAATACCCTCATATCAATGTATTCAAAATGTAGAGATACTGATTCAGCAAGATTTATATTTGATGGCATGTCTGTTAGAACATGTGTTTCATGGACTGCCATGATTTCTGGGTATGCTGAGAAAGGCGATCTGGATGAAGCCATGGACCTGTTTCGTGCTATGGAAGCAGCTGGGGAGAAACCTGATCTGGTTACTGTGCTTTCTTTGGTCTCCGGTTGTGGCCTTTCAGGGTCACTTGAGCATGGTAGATGGATTGAAGGTTATGCTAGGTCTAATGGGTTCAAAGATAACGTGATACTTTCTAATGCGTTGATAGACATGTATGCCAAATGTGGAAATATATATGATGCTCGGGATCTCTTTAATGCCATGCCTGAGAGAACAATTGTCTCATGGACCACTATGATCGCAGGGTATGCTTTGAATGGATATGTCATGGAAGCGTTAAACCTTTTCAGCGTCATGATAGATTTAGGTCTGAAACCAAACCACATAACATTTCTTGCTGTCCTCCAAGCTTGCAGTCATGCAGGTTTTCTTGAGCAAGGATGGGAATGCTTCAATGTCATGAAGAAGTACAATGTCTCTCCTGGACTAGATCATTATTCTTGTATGGTAGATCTTTTAGCTCGAAGAGGAAAGCTAAAAGAAGCTTTGGAATTAGTCAAAAATATGGTTGTTATACCTGATGCCGCTATATGGGGTGCATTGCTCAGTGCTTGCAAGATCTACCGAAATGTAGAGATCGGGGAGTATGTGGCTCGTCATCTTTTGGAATTGGAGCCTCAGGTTGCTGCTCCATATGTGGAGATGGCCAACATATATGCATCAGCAGGAAGATGGGATGGAGTTGCTAAGATAAGATCAATGATGAAGCATAACATGGTTAGAAAGAATCCAGGCCAGAGTCTCATTCAGATTAACGCGAAGAATTGTGCATTTACAGTTGAAGATAGAGATCATCCTGAAGGTGTACTAATATACGCAGTGCTGGATGGTTTAAGCTTGCTATCAAAAGACACTTTGGTAGAACACCTTAACTACCAAACCGTGAGCTAATTTTTGCTGAGAATTTGACATTAATGTGCGACTGGTTCCTGATATCTCATATCTGTTGCCATTATGGTGAAGAAGAAAAGAAAAGGAAAAAGTAAGAAACAATAATCAGCTGGCAATGAAGTGCAAAATGGAAGAAACAAACCACTTGAAAGACCATAATTTGAATTATGAATCATCCTTAAGTGGAATAAAAAGAACAAACCCTAAGCAAAAGACATTACTGCTATGATGAATAACTTGTTGCAGATCATCTCAAGAGAGAAAAAAAGAAAAAAAAAAGAAAGAAACTTGTTGCAGAGCTTCCACTTATGCCTGGGACTGGTCCCAATTTCTCAACTGATAAAAGCAGCTACCCAGCTGAGAGCTCAATTGTCGTTCACCAAACAAAAATGGTGAGATGTTATAGTTTCTAGTTTTTCCTGTAAAACACATTGTATCATTTGTTTTACCATTGCATTTGAAGAATCTGATTACAATAGCACAGGAAGGGCAACTAATTTTCAACAGTCATTCAAATCGTCAAAAGCCTTGTAAAGCACAAAGGTATAATATATGGTAGATATATCAAAAAGAAAATTTATTACAATTCTTAGCACTGATGATGAGGAATCAGGAGTGACAAGCATAATCAAATAGTTCTCTCAATTCCTAGCATAGTTATTGCTTTCTTATGTCCCAGCTCAGGTTTCTTGCTCTTGACATTTGTGTTTCTGCTTTATACATCTTCTGGTTCTTATATTTTGCCTTCAGTTTTAAAATTCTGCTTCATGGTCATGGAGTTGATGATTCAACATTAAATACTGCAATATGTTTTTTAGATCATTTGTTTATATTACCATGCAACTTTCTCTACAAGGCAAACATCTAAGTTCATGAGTTTTTTACCCCAAAGAAGCTAGGATTTGAGACCACCGCTATGCTCACCAACTAAATGGAAAGAACCAACCATAGTGCAAAAGATTGAAAGCTTGTGGTTCCAGTGACAACTATCTCTATATCCTGGTATACCTCACATTTTATATTTTGTTTAATCTAGCATTTTGTATTTACTACTTCAACCTGTTTATTATCACTTGTTGAGATATGATGATCAGTTCATGATTTAAAAATTGCTGCATCTTGATTGCCTTATTAAAAAAGCTTGAATTGAGATTTAAGTTTCCTCAGGAGTTCCTTCTTGCCTCACTCGCCTCTAAGTGGTTAAGACTTAAATTCACAGTGTAGAAAATGACATTTATAGGGAGAGGAGTGTCCATAATCATCAAGGTAAGTTTTCTTTTTCTGTCAATGTTGTCAGGTTTTCTTTTTTCTCAGCAAAGAAAACTAATCTTGATGGTAAATTAATTACCTTTCTTGATGAAGATATTGGTCCTAATAAGGATAATTATCAACTAGCTGTTTGGCTCAATGCTAAGAGAGTTGAATTGATCCTTTTTCTTTCTTTCAAAGTTTCAGTACATTCTAAACACTAAAAAAACCATTCTATAAGATTAGCACAGCTGTCATGCCGAATAGAAAGAGAGAGAGCTTAATATCGTTGGTTGTCATGCTCGATAGAGAGAGAGAGAGAAATAAATAATTCAAAATTAACTCTATCATCTAATACCTTTGTTATTTCATTATTCAGATATATAAACTAATCAATGATAGGACTGTCTTGTCAACTAGAGAAAGAGAGAGAGAGAGAGAGAGAGGGATGAATAGTAAAGCAGCAAAAACATTAGATGATACGACTAGTTTTGCTTTATTCAGCTCTCTCTCCCTCTCTATCGAGTATGTGAGTCATATTGTCTGCTGTCATGAGCTGTCATGCCTGATAGAGAGAGACAGAGAACTGAATGATCGAAAACAGTCCTATCATCTAATATCGTTGCTCCTTCATAATATATATATTGAGTATGATAGTCTTTAGCACCTAATGTCATTGGCTATCATGTTCGATAGAGAGAAAAGGGAGATAAATAATTCAAAATTAGTCATATCATCTAATACCTTTACTGTTTCATTATTTATATATATAAACTAGTCAATGATAGATTATAAATTAGACATTATATTATAAGACTAGTTTTGTTTTATTCAACTCTCTCTCTCTCTCTATCGAGCATGTGAGTCCTATCATCTATTGTCGTGGACTGTCATGCCTGATAGAGAGAGAGAGAGAGCTGAATGATCGAAAGCTAGTCCTATCATCTAATGTCATTATTCATTCATAATATATATATATATATATTAAGTATGATAGTTTTTATCATATAATGTCGTTTGCTGTCATGCTCGATAGAGACACAGAAAGAAAGAGAAAGAGAGAGAGATAAATAATCCAAAACTAGTCTTATCATATAATACTTTTACTGTTTTGTTATTCACATATATAAATTAGTCAATGATAGGACTGTCATGCTAGATAAAGAGAGAGATGAACAATAAAACAGCAAAAATATTAGATTATAAAAGTAGTTTTGCTTTATTCAGCTATCTCTCTTTCTTTATCGAGCATGTGAGTCCTATCATTGATTGTCATGAGCTATCATGCCTGATATAGAGAGAGAGAGCTGAATTATCAAAAACTAGTCTTATCATCTAATGTCATTGATCATTCATAATATATATATATATATCGAGTATAATAGTTTTTATCACCTAATGTCGTTGGTTGTTATGCTCGATAGAGAGAGAGAGAGAGATAAATAATCTAAAACTAGTTCTATCATATAATACATTTGTTGTGTCATTATTCATATATTCAAAGTAGTCAATGATAAGATTGTCATGCTAGATAGAGAGAGAGATAAATAATAAACCAATAAAAACATTATATGATAGAACTAGTTTTGCTTTACTCAGCTCTCTCTTCTTCTCTATCGAGCATGTGAGTCCTATCATCTACCGTCGTGGGCTGTCATGCCTGATAGAGAGAGAGAGAGAGAGAGAGAGAGAGAGAGAGAGAGAGAGCTGAATTATCAAAAACTAGTCTTATCATCTAGTGTCATTGATCATTCATAATAGATATATACATCGAGTATGATAGTTTTTATCACCTAATGTCGTTGGCTGTCATGCTCGATAGAGACACAGAAAGAGAGAGAGAGAGAGATAGATAATCCAAAAATAGTCTTATCATATAATACATTTACTGTTTCATTATTCATATATATAAATTAGTTAATGATAGGACTGTCATGCTAGATAGAGAGAGAGAGAGAGATGAATGATAAAGCAGTAAAGACATTAGATTAAAAGACTAGTTTTGTTTTATTCAGCTCTCTCTCTCTCTCTATCGAGCATGTGAGTCTTATCATCTACTGTCGTGGACTGTCATGCCTGATAGTGAGAGAGAGAGAGCTGAATGATCGAAAATCAGTCCTATCATCTAATGTCATTGCTCCTTCATAATATATATAGAGAGAGAAATAAATAATCCAAAAATAATGTCATTTAATCACTTTGTTGTTTTGTTATTCATATATATCTCTCTCTGTATCAACATGTCATTAATGTCGTTGTATGTTTGATAGAGAGAGAGAGATGAATAATCCAAAACCAATTCTATCATCTAATATAGCAGCAACTTCATTATTTATATATATATATATAGTGAACATGACAATTCTATAATATAATGCTGTTAGCTGTCATGTTCGATAAAAAAAGAATAAATGTAAATTAAGTTCAAGAATATTGTGCTAATCTAATAAAATGATGATTAATATTTTATTTTGGTTCAATTAATTCTTCTTATTAAACCAAATAAAATATATTTTTTTAGTGTTTAGTATGTACTGATACTTTGAAAAAAATAAAAAGATCAATTTAATTTACCATCAAGATTAGTTTTCTTTACTGAGAAAAAAGAAAACCTGACAATATTAACAGAAAAATAAAATTAACCTTGATTATTGCAGGCACTCCCCTCCCTATAAATGGCATTTTCTACATTGTGAATATAAGCCTTGACCACTTAGAGGTAAGCGAGGCAAGAAAGATTCCCCAAGAATGGTTCTTGATGAGGTTATTGATTATGATATTAATGGTAATAAATAGTATTTTCTCCAAAATGCGATTCTTCTTCTTCCATTAGCCTCAGTACCTGCCTGCGCACAATCCTTCACTTTCCCATCGATTTCAAAGACTCCATATCGTTTGACAGTTTGCCGCATTCCTTCGTAGTACTTCGGCAACCTCTTCGACAAACTTGTCATAGGATGTGACCTCCGAAAATAATAACAAGACACGATCTTGAAGTATTTGGCTGCCATGTGAGAGAGAAAGATGAATAATGAAGCACCAACGATAGTAGAGCATGACAGTCCTCTCTATGTTTCATTATTTATATGTGTTTAAGCAATGAAACAGTGCATTTAAGAACTTTTGATAGTTTTCTTAAAAATTAACATACACGTGCGAATGCAGAGGAAGGGTTTGGGGAGAGCGACATTCAATAGTCAATGATATGAGATAAAGTGAAATATTTATGATGCATGTAGAGATACAGAGAGGGAGCAACCAGAGATAGAAGACAAAAGCGATAACTGAGATAGGAAGTTGATCATAGATAATTCAAATTAACTAAAATTAATGAAAAAAAATATTAAATTTATGTAACATTTATGCATATCAATTTTCTGATAGCTGACCACAATCTTCAATAACAACAGGTTGTAAAGTCCTCCCAGTGTCTGAACCCACCTTCTCCATCTCCTTAACAACATTATAGCCTTCCACAACTTTACCAAACACAACATGTTTACCATCAAGCCATGAGGTCTTCTCGGTGCAAATAAAGAACTGAGAACCATTTGTGTTTGGTCCAGCATTTGCCATGGACAGAACTCCAGGTCCTGTGTGCTTCACCTTGAAATTCTCATCTGGGAATTTCTCACCATAGATTGATTCTCCTCCAGTTCCATTTCCCCTCGTGAAATCTCCGCCCTGACACATGAAATTTGGGATAATACGGTGAAAGGTTGAGCCTTTATAATGTAGTGCCTTCCCAGCTTTACCAATCCCTTTCTCTCCAGTGCATAGGGCGCGGAAGTTTTCTGCGGTTCTCGGAGTAGCATCTGCAAACAGTTCCATTACAATTCGACCAGCCTTCATTTTTCCAACAAGGATATCAAAGAAAACTTTTGGGTTTGACATTTCAATTAACTCCAAATCCTGCCAACAGAAACAGAGATGTAGCTAAGCAGGTTTCTCTTAACCCATCAAATTCAAGAATCTCCACCCTTCTTTAAAAAAAAAAAAGAAGAATGTCCACCTTATAAATGCTAAGACTCTAGTAAGATATATTCTTTTTCTACTGTAAATCACAATATCAACAAACAAGAAAGTTTCCCCGCTAATCATATAGAACCTGCAAACACAGATTCCGTTAAGCAGGTTTCTCTTACCCCATCATATACAAGAATCTCCATCTTTATAAATGCTAGAGTCTAGTAAAATATATTCTTATTCTACTGTAAATCCACAATATCAACAAACAAGAAAGTAACCCACTAATCATATAAAAGAAAAAAATGTACATGCACAAAAACCCATATTAAACTCATAAGCTTCAAAAAAGATTCCATTAAATGAATATTAACGTCATAAACTTCAAAAGCATTCCATTAAAAGCATGTCTGTGAGATTCAAAATCACTAAGAAATGTAAAGGCAAAACCTTTATAACCATCATCTCTAGCTAGTCCCACAGACTACTTTGAAATTTTTACACGAAAGACTCGCAACAAGATCGTTTCTTTTCGAATAAAATAACATTTTATAATCGACTACCAACAGAATCTAATCGCGGGTTCCCTGAAAACCCAGAAATGGAAACTCAAAAGAAGATTTACATCATATACACATGGATGCACTTGCGATTTAAAAGAAAAATATCCCATCCTACAAAAGAAATCCCCAAAGAAAATGTTTGATAATCAAGAGGGTATTATAAAAAGGATGATTTGGGATCTCGCACAGCTTTTGAGCTCACAGGTTTCCGATGAAATCACCTGCAAGCCTTCGATATGTGCAAATATTACTTTGACAAGTCGTAAACTGAGAAAGCGAAGAACAGATCAACAGATAAAGGTAAAGAATAGTTTACATATGAAGATAAGCAATAGAGCAGGACGGAAGGAGAAGGAATGGAAGTAGACCCTTCGGACGATACTCGATTTGGAGAGTCTTGGGGAAAGGGTGATAAAGACGCAGGGAATTGAGACGATTGAGCGGATGAGGGCTGCGAGTCGTTAGGGTTTAACAATATATAGGCACACCACTATATATCTAATTTTAATAAATTTATTAAAAAAAAAAATTTAAATTACTAAATTACTCTCCAAGATTTTACAGTTACTATAATTTTTTTAATATTTTAAAAAATATATATTAAAAATTATAATTTAAATAATTTTATAAATTAAATTAATTTTTTTTAATAATTTTTTATTTAATATTATATATAATAATATAAAAATAAATTAATAATTTAATTGAATATACAACTATATTATTCTATTAATTTAAATATTAATATATAATTTTTATCATATATTAATATATAATTTTTTTAAATATATTATAATTTTATAATTGACATCCTGTATTATTATTAAATCTTACCGATTTATTAATGAATTATAAAAAAGATCAACCAAAGGAGGGGTTGAGAGTGATTAGGTTTTAGCTATATATATATATATATATCTATATACTTATATGTGGAATTTTAATAAATTTATAAAAAGATAAATTAATTTTTAAAATTACATACTAATTATAATTTAATTTTTAATTTTTGTATTACAAATTAATTTTTAACTTATTTGTTTGTTTTAAAAGCTTTTTTAATTTTGTTCAAGATTTTTCATTTTTTAAAAAATTTATAAAAATATTTGGTTATGATATGAATGATTGAGGATTGAGAGTGGTTATGATTTAGCAATATATATATATACATACAGTTATATGTCCAATTTTAATAAATTTTTTAAAAAAATAAATTAATAAATTAATTTTGGAAATTTAATATTAATTATAATTTAATCTTTAATATTTTTTATTATAATTTAATTCATAATATTTTTATTTATTTCATGTTTTCATTTTCTTTAAAATATCTTTGTTTTATCTTTTATAAAAAAATAATAATAATTTATATTTTTAACAATAATTTTAATATTATGTAATAAAAAAACCATTCAAGCCAGCCAAAGTTCTGATCCCATGGACCAATCATGTTGTCTACCAATCCTCAGCACTCCCCCTTCTTCCTCTCCACCAGTCAAAAAACCCAGAAATCAAATCCCTCCTCTACATTTCAACCAGACACTTCTCTTCCTTCTCTTGAACAGACCAAACAAATCCATGCCCACATGATCAAAACCCGTTTCATTCACGCCCACGAGCTCCCTTTCATCCCCTTGAAATCCAATTCAAGCTCCTCAGCACATTGTAATTTTCTAATAACAACATACACTAAAAGAAACTGCCCAAGATTGGCACTTGACATCTATGCTTACATGCGTAGAAATATGGACAGTGAAGTGGATGACTTCATAGTGCCCTCTGTTTTAAAAGCTTGCAGCCAAGTTTTGATGATCCATTTGGGAAGAGAGCTTCATGGGTTTGCCTTGAAGAAGGATTGGATACTGATGTTTATGTTGGTAATGCTTTGATCCAAATGTACAGTGAGTGCGGGTGGGTAAGCTCTGCACGTTTGTTGTTTGATAAAATGTTGCAGAAGGATGTTGTTTCATGGAGTGTAATGGTTGGAGGGTACAGTCGAAATGGATTGTTGGATGAAGCATTAGGAATTGTAAGGGAGATGCAGTTCATGGAAGTGAGGCCTAGTGAGGCTGCCATGATCAGCTTGGTGAATCTCTTTGCAGATTATGGAGATAAGCAAATGGATAAAGCAATGCATGGCTTTGCTGTAAGGAACGTTGAAAAAATGGGTGTTCCTTTAACTACTACTTTGATTGACATGTATACCAAGTGTGGAGATTTGGCTTCTGCAGTAAAGCTTTTTGGTGGATTGAGTAAAAAGGGACTTGTTTCATGGACTGTTCTGATTGCAGGGCATATTCGTTGCAAGGAATTAGAAAAGGCTATAAAACTTTTTCGTAGAATGCTGGAAGAAGGGATACATCCTAATGAGATTACAATCTTGAGTTTAATCAAAGAATGTACATCCGTTGGTGCTTCGGAATTGGGCAGTTGGCTTCATGCATATGTTTTGAGAAATGGTTACTGTATATCTCTGGCTTTGACTACAGCTCTTGTTGATTTGTATGGGAAATGCGGAGACACTGTATATGCAAGAAAACTTTTTGATAGATCAAAGAATAAAGATGTGATGATCTGGAGTGTTATGATTTCGGCTTATGCACAGGTTCATTCCATTAATCAGGCTATCTCTCTCTTTACCAAGATGAGGGATAGCGGAATAAGGCCAAACCAGGTGACAATGGTTAGCCTACTTTCAGTATGTGCAGAAGCTGGAGCCCTTGACATGGGCAAATGGATTCATGCTTACATAGACAGGCAATGTGTTGAAGTAGATCTAGTACTGAAAACTGCGCTTGTAGATATGTATGCCAAGTGTGGGGACATTGATGGAGCTTACAGGCTGTTTGAGGAAGCTGCAGATAAAGATCTCTGCCTGTGGAATGCTATGTTTGCTGGATTGGGGATGCACGGTTGTGGCAAAGAAGCTCTGAAGCTTTTCGTAGAAATGGAGAAACTAGGTGTTAGGCCTAATGATATCACATTTATAGGACTTCTTCATGCTTGCAGTCATGCTGGATTGGTGGCTGAAGGCAAGATTTTATTTGAAAGAATGTTTCATAGGTTCAATTTGGTTCCAAAAGTTGAGCACTATGGTTGTATGGTGGATCTTCTAGGCCGAGCAAGACTTCTTGATGAGGCTCATGAAGTGATTAAAAGCATGCCGATAAGGCCAAACAGCATTGTGTGGAGCGCCCTGCTTGCAGCCTGCAAAGTTCATCGTAATTCAACATTAGCAGAAATTGCAGCAAGAAAGCTTCTTGACATGGAGCCTCAACATTGTGGTTACAACACCCTGGTATCAAATGTGTTTGCAGCAGCCAATAGATGGGATGATGTTGCAGAGTTGAGAAAAGTCATGAAGAAGTTCGGGATGAAAAAAGAACCCGGTCTTAGCTTGATCGAAGTAAATGGATCAGTTCATGAATTTGCAATGGGAGATAGGAGACACTCACAAATAGCCAAAATCGATGGCATGCTAGAGGAGATGAGAAAGAAACTGGAGGAATCTGGATACGTGCCAGACACATCTGTTGTCTTACAGAACATTGATGAGGAAGAAAAGGAATTTGCACTCAACTATCATAGTGAAAAAATAGCCATGGCTTTTGGCCTCATTAGTACAGCTCCAGGCCATCCAATTAAGGTTGTGAAAAATCTGAGAGTATGCAATGATTGTCACACTGCAACCAAATTACTGTCTAAGATATATAAGAGGGTAATTGTAGTAAGAGATCGGAAACGTTTTCACCATTTTAGAGATGGATTCTGCTCCTGCGGCGATTATTGGTAGATATTTTAAGAAATTATGCATAAATTATTTTGAGTGTAAGTGGTACTGTAAAGAAAATTTGAAAACT